ATATTCGTTTTGTATTTACGATATTTCATGCGTACATAAAAAAATAAATATGTTATTTCTTGTACTCACTTAAAACATAAAATAATAATACTACACCTTTGGAGTTCGATCTTTAATAAGATTTGCATTAAACCCAGTATACAAACCAACCTCAGTGATGACCAATAATTAGTCAGTAAATTCGGTAAATTCTAAATAATCAATATATATGGCATAGATATATTTATCTCATAAAATAATCCTAGAAGAGTTTTAATGCACATTTTTGGAAATCTGAAAACACCCCAAAAATAAAGATTGTATATGGAACAACTAAAATTAAACAACCCTAATTACAGTTATAATACCCGTTATATATATTTAAATCAATATGTAATTAAAAGCATAATTGTTTTTATATATAATAATAATCTGTTGCATTAGTAAAAATTAAAAAAAAAATACAAAAAAAAATAATCTTTTTACTCTGAAAATTTTTCTCCCCCCAACAATACAGTTTTTCTTATCAACTTATCAATGTAATTAATTTGAATGCGTAAGGATATATCTGAAACTATCAACTCACAAATTGGTGGGAGGTGTTTTAAAATTGTATATAATAAATTCTTCACATCATAAACAGGATCCCCTGATCCCTTGCCATTTTTCGTTTCCACTGCATTGCGTTTTTTAATTTTTTTTTTTCAGTTTCCTTTTGCATTGTCAAAATGGGCGGTATTCTCTTATACACAATGGGCGGAAATTGCAATTAAATAAATATTTTTATACTGTAATAAAACTAATTTTTATAAACTTAATACGTTAATTTACTTCAATAAAACAAAACATTTCGGAAAATTTTCAACATAAATGAAACACAATTCGGCAAATAAAATCGATATTTGTTTTCGCTCGCCATTTTGATTTTTGCCGCAAGTTTAACTTAATTTTAACAAATATTTCTTTCATATATTAATACATACCTCACTTAATGTATGAATATATTTTATGTCACTTGAATTATTTATAGTATTGTTTATTAATTAAATAAATTCAATCAACTTTATATTTAATTATATTATGCACAAACCGCTCCCGAAACATCTAAGCTTCTCGATTTCTAAAACGAAGTGAATTATTATCTTCAATTTTTATTCTCTATCCAATAAACCAGGAGCGTTGCCAGACTTGATAATTTTAATATTTTTATAAAATAATAGAATATTTACATTTTGACATTCAAGAAAAGATTTTCAGACAGTACTAGCATTAAACGAATATATCATAAGTTATATGACATATATAAAATAATTCTGCTACAATAATTCAAAATAACTCAACTTAAAATATATTGTACATGCAGCACGATATTAATTTACCACAAAATTAATTATTCTTTATATTACACATCAAAATATTCGAATAATCTTTTTAATATAATTGTGCATTTTTTTAACATTATATAATATGTTATATGAATATACTTTTCAAAATCAAAAAAAAAAAATTTTTATAAAATCCAAAATACATTAAAATACAAATTTTTAGTTTTCGAAAGGAAATTTTAAATATTGAAAACAATGATTAGCGATTTAATTAATGAAAGTATTTTTTACTTTTCATTGCTTCAATATAAAAATAACACAATAACCGAAGACAACATATAAGTACTTATGTACGTATATTTGCAACATTTTTGAAAAATATGTTAAAATTTAAAAAAAAAATTTTTTTGCCTCTATAATACTTCATCAAATATTTTAAGCAATATAAAAAATGGGATTATCTACTGTTCATTTATTTAATATATAAAGTTTAATAAAAAAAATTTAGTAACATTTTCCATTTCGGATTATTTGAACAATTTAAGATTACATATTAAAAAGTCAAACATCATCTTAGATATAATAGTAATTTAAGACAAAACAATAATAGCACACTCACACTGTCTCATTTAGGGTGTTTTACTCATTATAGCCCCTAATGAGACCAATTTACCATACAAAAACTTTTTATATAAATAAGCTCATTATCAATAAATCACCTCATTTAAGGCAAATAAAATCGAACACAACCCTTAAAAATAAATTTCCCACAAGGGAAATTAACATATGTTTTATATGTAAAATGTAAACAAACAACAGCTGGGCTGTAAACATATACACTGAGGAAGTATTTAATAAAATCTTTGTTTTTTATTAATTAAATATGTAATTAACAAATAAAATGTATAGAAATGATTAAATATATATATTATATATTTAATTTTTTTGTGTGATATATGATTGAATGAAGTTTATAACAGTTTTATCAACTGTATAAATAAGCTAATCATAATGTGAACGTTAATTCATTAATATAAATGAGCAAGTGCCTAAATGAAAATATTATACTATAATATTAATAAAATACATTATCATATCAAATAAAAATATATCATTTTAATTTGTACACACATATTTTTAGTTTATATATGGTATTTATATTATTACATATATTTATAGAATAAAATAATAAGAATCCGCAAATAGCTGATGTTTTATTTATGTACATAAGTTTATTTATTTAAAAGTGATATTCGACATTTCCATAATATTAATTACTAAAGTCGTTTTAAAAAGAATAGTTTTCGAACCGAACAGGATTTTTTACAAATTTTTTTTAAATATTTTGAACTTAAAAATGACATCAGAAAACGCAAACTCGATTTTTATGTGTACCAAAATGTATAAGTTATAACTTTAAACTTTTAGAAACATAAGTACACACCGTAACACATATGGTTTAAAACAAAAAACCAATTTAATTAAAAACTACTAAAATAAAAGTAGTAACCGATTCATTACAATTACCATGTAGTCCCCAAAAGTATTTTTATATATTTATAATCAATATAACATAACCAATAAACATATAGAAATTTACTACAATATCCACTTGTGCAATATGTCCAAAAAATTTTGCATTATTATTGCAGAATTCATTTAAGATGTATAATTTAATTCGAATCATAGAAATGAAAACATCAAAACAAAACCGAAGGGTGGCAGCATTAAAAAAAACAACAAAGTTTTTCTAAAAACAAAAACATGTGTAAACACTTGCATCAAAAAGAGGAATGCACGAAATGAAATCTGAGCTAGCATTCCCTGAAAACCTTATTTAGCGCACATTTTCACTAATAATTTGCTTCGCTAAGCTATATTAACTGTTGATAATTGGCTTCATATAAGTAATCCAAATATGTAATAATAATTACTTTATTATATATAATAAGCATTAATTTTACATATTGCAAATAATATATTTAAAAAGTCACTATTAATTTTATATAAATACAATTCTATATCCTAAAAACTAATATGGGTCTTTGATTCTTTGAAGAAGTATCTATGTATGTATTTTATTGAGCACACCGTAAACAGTACAACAAAGAGCAAAGAAAAGAAATTAGAATGGGGCTGTTTTTAAATTTTTGTTTTAATTATCCATCCCTTCTATTGTAATAGTTCCATACGTTCACGGCTCAATGAAAATATTTGTTTTTACTCATCTAATATGTCACGAATGTAAAACCGCCAAGGACTACTGACTAAATCATGAGATCATGATTCAGTCAACCCTTTAAAAATTATTGATTTTACTTAATGAAAGTAAATGCACTTTACACTGTTGACACCCTGCACTGATCAATTGAACAAACAAATAAACGACACTTACCTGCAGTGGTCAGCACCTGCAATCTAATGATTCCTTAAATCTTCGAATCCAAGTTTGAACAAATGTTTTAAAGAAATCGACTTCCGTTTCTAAGCACGATTACCTTAGAATTTTACAGCTTAGTTTGAATTAGCAATGACAAATAATTTTATGACTGATAATTGCAATAACACATAGTCAAAAACTACTCAAATTGAATAACTTTCGCTACAAAATTTTATCATTTAGAAACAAACTACAATTTAAAACATTTGCTACCTCATGTGTCGACAGAGCAACTTTCTATTCCAAAAGCAGAAAATTCTAAATTTTGATGTTTTCAATATACCAAGTTGCTATAATTCAGGGTTGTATTTGTGGTAAAGCAAAGATATGGAAATTTATAGAGTAACCATAAAATTTTACGGTATCCTCAAGTTATTCATATATATTTTTAAAAGTGTATATATTATATAATTCTAATTTAAAGCTGTTATGTATGCATTCACATTAATACTATGCTGCATTTTACGATATACGATGTTTTGCAATATACGGTCTACCACCGTATACCTCATCTATATAGCAGCAATTGCAACTAAACATATGGTACAAAAAGTTATAAGCTGCGCTTCAACAAACAATGATCTAATGCACTCATGTAATATGGCGTTTACATTGACCGAAAATGGATCATTTTGAATGAGCCATTTGAAAGTGTTTACATTCGTTCTATTTCATTTGTTCTCATTTCAACAGCTGATTTTTCAACTTGCATGTTGATTTGATTTTTGGCCTGTGCCAAAAAAATGTTGCATGAAGGTTAAATATGCCCCTTCAAACCTTACATTAGAAACTTAAAACATATTTTTAACTTCGATTAATTACTTTTTGGGAAGTAAAAGTTCTAAAAAGCAGTGCATCGTTTTCAAGAAAATGCAACCACCAAACATTTGTTTACCTTTTTTTGTAAATATTTTAAAAACAGCTTTTTCAAACTGTCATAATGCCATGAAGAGCTTTCATTTAGGGTATGTTCAATGGATTCCTTTGCATTTGGAACGTATGTGGAATGCATTCGAACGTCATACAGAATGTGAGAAAATTGCTCATTTTTGTGCTTGAAATTTTATATGCAAGAATGAGCCATTCGATACTCATTTTCGATTTTTGACCAAAATGAGCCATTTTCGGCCAATGTAAACGCCGTAT